TGATACTCTTTTAGATTTGATAGCCAGGAGCAAAATTAGAGGCGAACAGTGGCCTCTCCGACTCTACACCTGGCGGGATTGGAGATTTATAGGATCTTTAGCGAAGGGGCAATTTAATTTTGTAGGATTTGCTTAAATTCACTGCTATTTTGGGGGGCTGAGAAGGGAGGGTGAGGGGAGAACGACATGCTTTATCTAGTTTTATGAATCTGCCAACATTACCCTGATTTAAAACCCAACAACCTGTGTCTCAGGGAAAACTCCTGCAGAAAGGAGTGAAGGAGTGGGGTGAGGGGGACTCGGCTTTCTCAATGACTGTGGCCCCCTTAACCAAGCAGTTGCCAGGGGGAAGGAAGAAAAGCCCGAGGCAAGGGGAGGGCGGCTCTAAGTCTCTCTACCACCAGGACACCCGGAGGTTTATGGTGTCCCCATAATTCCCCCAACCCTATAAACAGCTGCCCTATTTTAGGACGAGTTCTGCTTCCTCCCCTGGGAAAGGGAGAGTGAGGGAGGAGGTAATGGCGGGAGCAGGGTGCCGGAAAGGGGAGGGAGCACAGGATAGCGCCGCACTTTGTTCTCCTGGGTGAGTTTGCTGGTTTGGCGGGTTTCTGACGCAGGGTGGCAGTAGACAAAACAAGTAAACAACTCACAGACACAATAAACAGGGGCGGCTGCAGCCACCGTGGCAGAGGCCGTGGGCCGGGTGAGGGGCACAATTTGGGGGTAGTGTCACCCCAGCACCCAGGCGTGGCCGAGGTCCAAAAGCCCGAGGCTGCCCCCAGTGCCGGCAGGAGAAGCTGGAAGAAAGCTGCACGTCTCCGCACCCGCAGCAGCGTGTCTGGACAGGAAAGTCTTGGGAGGAACCTGATTGCCTAGGGAGTGGAGGAAAACCCTACTAGCCCCTTTCCTGTCCTTACTTTCTTTCAGGAGCAGTTCACGGACATTTATATTCTCCCCTGCTCTGTCTTCTCGTGGCCCCGGCAGGGAGAAAGCCTAGGAAGGGAGGCTGGGAATTCCCTGCCCTGGCGCACATTCAGTGCTCCAGGCCCACAGGCAGCTAGACCCAGCTTCTCCGGCGCTGCCCTGCCAGCCTTCTTCCCAGCTTCTTCGGTAGAAGAGAGAGAATTAAAACAAAGTCCCACCAGTAACCAGATCTGGGTATTTGGCGAGCTTAGAGAGCCCCTAATCTGCCCCACAGACGACACAGGCAAATCTCGGGTCCAGTGAGCAGGGGCGGGAGCGGGGATAGATGTTCACCGCACCCCCTACGCATTCCGTCTGGCCTTCTCCACCAGCCTCTTCCAACAGCTGCCTCAGACCACTGCCCAGAGGCCACCTTATTGACCACTCAGATCTCCTTCACTGTCCCAGCAAGGCTGTAAGCACCAGGGCCTAGCCAACTGCTCAGAACTGCTCCGAAGGTCCACCTTACCCACAAAAAGAGTTTCCCACAAAACTCACTTTCAACACCACAGTGTTCCTCTGGTAAACAGCCTCTGAGTTGGGGAAGTCTGGGGGCAGGTGTGGAGAGAAAGCAGAAGGATTCAGTATTTCCCCAGCTGCTTGGACAGTGAAAGCAATAAGGTCTGAGAAAGGCTTTATGGCATCCGTCGGTTACTGGAACCCGCATACTCCGATCCCAACACGCACACATTTCCAGGAGAGCATGCACAGAGGGCCTTCTTGGTGCACCCAATGCTTCCCTGAGCCCAATCCCATCTAACAAAATTTTGCATGCACATAAAAAGGTGTTTGAGCGAATACAAGCATGGTAATATACAATTAACCACCGAGGAAATATGAGTCTGTATATATTCATGCATAAGTCGGAGTCTGTACATTTGAGCCCGTATATAATAAGTGTATAAAGCTACCAAGCCTGGTTTCGGAACACAACAGCCAACCCAACAAGGCCGCCTTCTCCAAACAAGGGTGCATTTTTCCTAGGGATCACAACTGTCAGACCAGGGAGAGAAAGGGTTTGCTCTGCCCATTTCTCCTTAGCTAGGAACTGGCGCATAGAATACAGTGCGTGGCAGGGCTGACAAAGCCTGTAAGGGGCAGGCCTGAGGTGCCCAAAGAGTGGACTCAGAGGGGAACCCTGGGCTCCAAGGAGTATTGCCAGAACCTGACCCACAGATTCAGTGCCTCTGCCCAGACTTAGTCCTGGGTGTGCAGAGTCCTCGGGCCAGATTCTATTCTCAGCCGCTCTGGCTATTATTAGATATACACACCAGTGCTTTCCTGCACTAAGGACCACGTTTACAGGGAATCTGGCCTACAAGGAGGCTGAGGGTTGCCACTGGTGGCCCCTCTTGTTGCTTCTGTTTGCGCACCAGAGTGGGAGAGGAAGAAGGGAAAGAAAATCGAAAGTAAGGAGGGAAGGAAGGCGCTGGAGTTTGGGGCTGGATTTATCCCCTGGACAGACTAGAAAACTGGAAAACCAGGGTCAGTCACCGCTGCTATTCTTTCTCTGCATCCCTCTTGTCTCATGAGAAGGATCTAGGGGGTGAAGAACGTGGGGGCCTGCAGGACCCTAGCCAGGAAGGGACAGAAAATCAATTGATAAAAATATTATATAAGGACACCTCAGGATGGTACCGTTAACCCATCACCCATGAACCCGAGCACCCTGAAATCTCCCCGGCAGCACATCTGTTCAGATCCCTGTAGGCCGAGATAAATACCCCCGCCTTACCCAGGCCCACCCCTCCGAAGGGAGGGGGACCCCTCTAATATCCCAGGTGAATCCCCACTCTCCCGAGTGGCCTTCTCCGAAAGCTGTTTTTTTGGGGGGGTGAACAAAGGAGACTTGTGCCCCCCTCCAGTCAGTGCGGCCATCTGCAGGGGCGGGGGGGGGTAGGCAGACAAGGGGGCAGACAAAATACAGGCGAAAGAGAGAAATAGAGGCCTCACCGGTCGGCGGTTCCCACATTACGCCCGAGAAAGGCTCCCATTTTCAGGCCTCCGGGGGGGCCCCTCCACTGGCCCACTGCACTCCCCTTGCCCTTCTCAGGTCCCACAGCCTCGGGGTCTCGGTGGCCACGGCATGGCTACCGGGGGCGTCAGGCACTGGGCCGCACTGGAGCGGCGGGAGAGCGCGCGGCAGCCTGAGCAGGAGGCGGGCTGGGCCCATTTGGGGAGAGCCAAGCGCTTTTCTCGATCGTAAACAAGGAACGCGAAATTAGCCCCTCGGCAGACGCCTCTGCCGACACACAAGTCCTATTGGGGGGGGGGGAGTGGAAGGGGGAGAGAAAATGCCATTTCTTCCCCCGGGAGAATACCTCAGAGGCCTTTATGTCGGATATGAAACGGGAATTTTGGGGGGGCAGGACAGGAAGGGAAGGGGATTGTGGGGGGGAGGGGACAGAAGATTCACCATCAACTCGGACCCAAGGGGTTTGATTTGAATGCAGTCGAATTATGTTTTTAAGAATTTGATAAAAACAGGTTCTGCCTCCCAACCTCCCCGCCCCCCCCCCCGACCCCCAGGCGACGGGTCAGGGTTTAAACAGGAAATCGAGGAGCGTTCCCCTCCCCCACTCGGGCTTGGCGGAGAAGCCCAGTTGCGCCTCCAGAGAGGATTGGAGGTGGGGGGCAGCTCTTAGCTCGGATTGAAGGTGAGTCTGGCCCCCAGACTCTCAGACCTCTCCAGGAATATGCGCTCCCCCTCCCCCAGCTCTGGGGTGTGTCTGCCTGGGTGTGTAAGCGTTTGTGTGTGCATCGCCCTTTATAAACAGAAGCTCACACATATAGGGGCCGCCTCGGACCCAGGCCAGGGAGCAGGGCGGGGTCATATATCAAACTGCAACACATTCAGGGCCACGTACATTTGGAAGAAATTAAGCCACTGTGTTATGAAACCATATGTGTCGGGTTAAGACCATACAACACGCCATTAGCACCAATTATTAGGAAGATCCCGAGCGCCCAGGACCCTCCGGGCCGCCCGATTCTGACGTCCCTACCCCACGAGCGAGCCGCGCCTTGAGTCCTCACTGCCTCCACTCACCCAAGAGGCCCCACCAGCGAGGCCTGGGCCTGTCCCCAGCCAGTCTGGGGCCTCCCCAATTCCCACCCCCGCCCCAGACAAAGCAGATCCCAGCTCAGAGCAGCCAGGCGAGGCGAGTGAAGCAGCCCAGTGGGTAACCCGGGTACGGTGGCCGCGGTTGGGGGTGGAGGACGCTGGGCCGGGTGAGAGAAGGCAGATTGGCCCCTTTTCTCCAAGCACAAGATGGCTTTTGAGTACCGCGTCCCCCACCCCCACCCATCCACCCGCAGTGCAGGGCACCTCCCATCTTTCCGTCCGCTCGAGTGGGGGCGGGAGCTGGGGGTGGGCAGACGCACTCTCCTCCGCTGACGCGCACCAGCCAACAGCCTCCCGCCTAATTGCCAATTAACAGGCCCCGCCGCCAGCCTAGCTGCGCTCTCTTCCTGCTCAGCCGCCCGGCTCTGGGCCCGCACTGCGCATGTGTGAGCTCTCGCGGTGGCTCTCTCCGGGAGGGAGGGGGCGGCGGGCAAGGAGGGGGCTCTGGAAAGTTTGTTTGTGGGTTGGGGGGCTGACTTTGCTCAGGGGTAATGGTTACAATCTACAGTTCTCTCTCCTGCCCTGGAGTTTGAGCTTCCGGGCCCCCTCCGTCCCAGTCCCATTAGCCAAGAGGCCGCAGATCTATATAATAGGTAAGAACAGGGTGGGCATCAGGCAGCGGGTCAGTGCACTAGACCCCGGCCTTGAGCCCCACAGGCGCAGTCCTCTTCCCCCCCCCACCCCCAACTTCGGCGCACAGTGACATCAGGACAACACACTTCCCACACCACCGTATTACAGCTTAACCCCATCCTCCCCCCACTTTTCCTCCCCTTAATTGCCCGCACGCCCACCCTCTCGCCAGCCCCCCTCTCCTCTCTAACCAAGACAAGCCGCTGCTGTCCTTATCTTGAAACCGCCACCCAGCTACGGACCATTAGTTACATATTTGAACCAATAAGGAAACACTTACCGGGCGCTGCTGTCACTCTCCCTCTCCCTCTCTCTCTCTGCCTCTCTCTCTCTCTCCCACTCTCTCTTTCTCGTCTTCCCTTATTCTGTGCCGCTGCCGAGCCTGTCTCAGCTCCATACACACATATATACTTTATATAAATTTAAAAAAATAAAAAAGAATAGTCCCAATGATCAAAAAGCCAAATAAAATTAAGGAGAGTTGCAAGAAGGGGGCAGGAGGGAGAGGCTGGAAGAGGGGAGGGGCGGAGGCATCTGCAGCTCCCTATCTCAACTCCTGCTCCCGCATACCTCCTGCCCCTTGGGGGGCTAGAGGATCGGGAAGGGAGAGAGAGGTGCCCTCAACTCCTGCCCTTTCCCCTACATCCCCCCCTCCCCGGGTGCCCCCAGCTTCCGGCAACTCCACCTGGGAGGAAAAAAATTAAATGGGGGAGAAAATAATTATTAATCAGATTAATAAAAAAAAAATTACTGGTAATGAAGGGAGCGCCCAGCGCAGGTTTCCCTGGCAATGGTTAGGCTCTTACAGGGAGGACTGTTCTGCGGAGCGCTCCGAACGGACAAACCACAATAAAAAGTTCACGTTCATGGATGGAATCCACATGACTTCTTGTGGCCAATCCAACTTGTGAGTCGATCGTAAACTTTTATTACTCAGCTGTAAATTTTCTGCAAACAACCGGGAATGCGATGCATTTGTGTAGCGTGTGCAAATGGGCGCCGCGGTCGCCATGTTTACCCAATTCTCTCGGAGAGGGAGCATCCCCCGACCCCCACCCCACCCTCACCCACCGCCCACTCCCCACGGGCCAGGCTGCTCCAGGCTAGCACAGAAAGGGCAAAGGGGGGACGCGAGAGGAGGAAAGGAGGGATTCTGGCGCTGAATCGGCCGCCTCCCTTTGCCATACCGAATTTTAAATATTTTTCTTAATAAATGGGGTATTAAGGTTGGATCTGGGGGAAGCGAGGCTTTGCAAAGGTTTGTGGCACTGGTGGTGCAGTGCCGGCTGGAGGGGTGAAGGGACTGAGAAGGGATGCGCTCCCAACTCCTACCCTTTTTTCTAGGACAAGAACTACATCTTTCCCAGTGGGGAGCCCTGGCAGCCCCCCCGCCCCGTTCAGACCCAGACAGGAGCAAGAGGGACACGCGGCTGGAAGCCTCATAACCAAGCCTGACCTGGCCGTGGTCTGAAGAACGGAGAGGGCTTAGACCCGAACTGGGTAGCCCTGCCGATGCAGCAGGAGGGGTGAGAGTTGGGGGCAGCCACCAGAACCCCGAAAGTGCCCATCATCCCAGGCTCCTTTCTCAGAGAAAATGACATTTTTCCTTCTCCTAGACCATCCCCAGTTTCAGGTCTCCTCAATTCCTAGGTTTAGATGGCAGATTACTCCCAATCTATTTAGAAATAAAAATAAAATTAAGGCCCAAGATCTTGGTTCCTACTCCCCACTCCCCCCACCCCCCACCCCCGCTTTGGGTGCAAGGCAGCTTGAAGCCTTTTCTATCTTGTCAGGTGACCAGCACCCACCTGCCTTTTTCAGAAAAATTCTGGTGTTCAAGCAGCTGGGATACACCTTGGAGGCCTTCCCCCCAGAAAGAAACTTATCTTTCCCCAAATTCCACCTTCTGTGCTAAATTCCAAGCACTTGAGGTGTCTCCCACCTTTCTCCAGACCCATAATTTTGGCGATGAATCCAATGTGGGGGAACCCAGAATAAATTCCCCCCATAGAGACTATTTGCCAACCAGTCGCAGCCCAGCCGAGTCACAGCCCAACACTCCCCACCAGCTGGAGATCTGAAGGCCCAAAGCTCTCCCCTTGATCCCTTACGGAGCTGGCGTGGGGACATCCATGGCTGGGTGCCCCACCCCAACCAATAGGGGGCCCCTTATCCCCTCCCCAAACTTCCTCCCTGGGTAAGGGAAGCAGTTCCCTCAGCCGGATGCAGAGACCTAGTTTCTTTTACAAACCCACCCATAAATTTTATAACAGGTAGTTAAAAATTACGACAAGGAAGCTCTGGCCCAGCTTTTCACAATGGGCTGCTGGGAGAATGGGACAGCGCTGCGGGCTGCTCACCGGAAATTTTACTTCTCGTCTGTGGCACAACCTGTCCCGAGTTCGGTCTAATTGGGGCGAGGTAACTTTCTGCAGCCGGCAGGCAGCCAGTGGGACTTCTCATTTGAGGAAGATGAGGCTGGGGAAGGCCAAACCACTCTCCCATCCTAGGGTGCCCCCCCCAAAGCCCTATAGAGCACTCACTACCTCCCTCACCCCCAGGTCCCCTGCAGGCCGGCACCTCCCTTGGCCTCTGCAATGAAGTGGGGAGGGAGATAAAATGCCGAGAATTAAAAAAAAAAAATCCAGAGAAACGAATTTGCCCCCCAACTTAATAGCTGCATTATCCCGTCTCTACAGCTGAGATTAGAATAATAAATTCAAGGCGAAATGAGCGAGATGCTTCAACTCAGCATTTTGAAAGATACTATTTTTCACAAATCACAAATAGCTTTCGGAAGCCACTTTGATTGGCTAATAAAAAAGTAAAGAATGGGAGAAAGTCCTATCTGCTGCAGCCGAATGGTCCCCATTCCGGTAATGGGACGGCAGGAGCATTTGGGAGGACGCGTTTCTAAAGAGAGCGCATCCCGCTCGCAATTAAGTTCCCCCATAAAACGGGTTTTACCTCCTTTTCTCTCCAAACGAGAAAAAAGAGGCGGTGGGCAGAAAGGGTGGGGGAGCGGGTGCTGCAAGAAGGGGCGGCTGGAGCTCTCTTGGTGTGGCCCACCCGAGGCTTCGCATCTCAAGCGATGCCGCGCCAGACGCACCCCGCCCTCCGACGCCCGGCTTGGGGCCACGGGCATTGCTGAGCAGGGCCAGGGATGAATGGGGCATTGGGTGTGGGGGAAATTCGGCGAGGTTCTTCGGAGCCACTTAGTGTAGGGTTCAAGCAACTTGGCTACGGGTCGGCGATGTTTATTAATAGCAATCATAATTCCACATTAAAAAATGGAACGGCCCGCGGCCGGCCCTCGGAGTCTGGAAGGGATACCCCTGGGAAGGCCTGAGGTCGGAGCGAAATGCTCTCTTTTCGGGACTCCCTGGCGGGTTGCCGGTGCCTCCCGCAGCAAACGGGGTTACCTGGCTGGCGCAACGGCTCACAGCAGGGACCCCAGGTTTCCACAGATTTCCCCCAGAGCTGTTCAAAGCTGTTCCCGGCTGCCTGCAGCATGTGCTTCCAATCGGCAACCTCTCTCGGACCGCAGGAGTCCCATATCAAGGATGCCTGACCCAATCCTGTATTCACGACCACTTGGCGTGGGAGCCAGGGACCCAGATGCGGGTGAAATTACACAAAATAAGAATCAGCCTGGGCCTAAGTCTGGGAAAAGCATTGACGGGGGTGGGGGAGATCTGGCTTCAAAAATATTTGTCTTTGGGGGATCTTGTTTTAAGGACCAGAAGATCCCGTCTCCTTCCCTTTCCCCCTTCTCCTGACTGAGTCAGATGACTCCTATCTCTGGAATTTGGTATTATTTGACCAGAATCTTACTGGCATAAACAGATTTCTCTGCCTAAGACCCTCCAGGGAGAAGTGAGAGACCCCTTTGCCCCCTGAGTCCCTGAGCCTTCAACCCCTTATTTTGGGGAATGAGGAGTCCAGTGAAGACTCTCTTTACCCTACTGTGGCTGGGATGGAGGACTGTCCACTCCGCAGGCCCATCCTCCTCACCCCCAGGCCAACGGCCCACACTACGAGGGCAGGGCAGACTGCCCAATTGCCAAGGTGAAGCCCGGAGCCGGCTTGAAACAGCCAGAACAGAGGCTGGGGTAGATGCTGGCGGCCTGGGTGATAGTGATGGCTCTGTGCTGATGGAATTTGAATTTCAGAACATGGGCCCAGGCTACTTGGTGTACCAACTCACTCACCTTCCCCTCCTTCCCTTTCCCCCAGGCTGAAGCTTCCTCATCCCCCACCCCTAGCCATCTTCCCCCCAGCCAAGTCCTCCAGGCTGCCTTGAGCCTCACATTCTTCCCACCCTGTTCACTGTTCTAGTGCTGGGTGCTGGGTGCCCAGGGTTGACCACGAGGGGCATGTGGAGATCAGAAAGAACCCCACTGCCTCATCCTCAGTCCCTGGAAGAAAAAGGCCTAGTTGTGGGAGGCGCATGGGGGCAGATTCTTTGTCTGGGCCCAGCCCAAGGCTGAGGAGGAGGAAGGTGAATAAGTGGGGAGACCCTTTCTTCCCACTGGGATCTTGGCATCTAGAAACCCATTTTGTTTAGAGCCAAGGTTCTCCCAATAGCATACTTGGGGCATACTGCTCTTCTTCCTCCTCCTCTACACCTCCCCCACCTTTCACCTGCCCTCCCTGCCCAGTCTGCCCTCTCAACTCCTAGGCACCTCTCCACGTGAGTTCCTCCACCCAGGAGTCAGATCAGTGACAGAGACCTTTTCCACAGTGCTGGGAAAGAGGGATAAGGAGGAAAGGAGGAGTAGAGAATTGGAGGGGGAGGGGGGAGAATTGGAGGGGGAGGAGGGGGGGCATTGGAGAAAAAGCAAGTCATTCCAGCTTCAAATTTTTTTCTCCTTTTTTTTTTTTTATTATGACTCACGTATACAATACAAAGTACTCGGACCAGGAACAGGGCTGCCGGGACACAAAATCTACATTCATAGCTGGACATAAAGACAAATGACCAAAAATTATTATTATAGATATATTTTAACTTTTTTTTTTTCTTTCGAGCACATTGCATAAACAGAGAATTCAAGACAGAGTTAACTATACATTCAGTGCAATTTAGTTCTACTCTACTGGGGTTAGAAGCACAATAAAAGCGCACAGGACCGGCGGGCTAGGCAGTCTTAGTTGTTGGGTTTTCCTTAGTGAAATAAGCAGCAACAAACGACAACAAAACCGCATTACGAATACTCTCAAAGCAGGATTTCTTTCTATAGGTAGTGATAAAATACGTTGGAGGTTTCTTTCTTTTTTTTTAAATTTTAATCTTTTTCTCTTTTTTTCTTGCATATTAGGATTTTTAAAAATTTCTTTTTTACTTTTTCAAGATTATTGCAGGTTCCCTTTAGGTAGTATGTTAAAGATTTATTATCAGTATTATTATTATCATTCTTATTATGTTCATGATTATGGTGATTTCTGAGCGCTAATACTAGTGCAGCTCAGAGGAAGCTGGGCCCAACAACAGAAATCAGACAGCGAAGGGGGGGAAGGCATGGGCCCGAGTGACCATGGGATGGCTAGGTAGGATTTTAGCGGCGACTGCAGGCTCCTATCTACCCCATGGGGAGGGGGGGCAGGGGAGAGACCTGCATCTCTTTCAGGTTTCCAGCAGGTTTCTTGAGAAAGTCAAGGGGGTCTTTCTAAGTGGGGGAGCCCCAGAGAGGGGGAAGGGATATTCCTTGCTATCATTTTAAAAATTTCTTTAAACATCTCCCTTTCTTTCCCTTCCTTCCTTCACTTTTCTTTCCTTTCTTTTGAAAAGAAGTAAATCTAATACATAGTCCTCGCATAAAAACAAAGCCACAAGTCTTCTTCCGCATTTTGAGAGGGCTCCCCTCTAAAATAAATACCAGAGAAGCAGGGAGGTGGGAGTGTGGCAAGAAGGGGTGAGGGGGGCAAAGGGGCCAGGTCTCAGACCTTAAGATCCAGGCAGGACTCCAAAGGGTGGGGGTAGGGACAAGTGTGTGTGTTGGGGCAAGGACTGAGACAGAGTCCCAACTTTTCGCTGTGTCTCGGTCTCCCCCCCCCCCCCCCCCCTCCGGCCCCCAAACAAATAAAGATCGGGGGGAAGTCCAAAGGTAATAAAACCAGAGCTGCAAGTATCTGACAGGTAGTTAGAGTTGTGAGTGTCATTCTATTCTCTATAAAAGCAAATGACAGTCGTAAACTTCTCAATTTATCCGCTACCATAAAACGAAACTTCAAGGGAGTTGCTAAGGGAGGGGGGGGTCTCTCTCTTTTGCTTAGTCCTTGTTTTCTTCCTTTTCCTCCTCTTCTTTCTCCTCTTCCTCGTTTCCTTCCTCCTCCACCTTCTCTTCCTCTCGGGCTCCGGGCAGTTTATCCTTGTTGTTCTCCTTTTTCCACTTCATCCTTCGGTTCTGGAACCAGATCTTCACTTGTCTCTCAGTCAGTCCCAGGGCATGAGAGACTTCAATCCGGCGCTTTCGTGTCAAATAAGGATTAAAGAGAAACTCCTTTTCTAGTTCCAAGGTCTGATACCGGCTGTAAGTTTGCCTTCCACTGCGCCGCCCCGGAGCTGGACAGAATAGAACCCCAATCTGGTTATGTTTGGGTGGGGGCTCGGCTCTCCCCTGCCACTCTTCCTCCCCTAAAGTCTCCCCTGTGGTCTCCCCAGTTCCCCTCCCTCCTGAAGACCAGGCAAGAGCAGGGAGTAGGCAAGGGCAGGAAACTTTGGGGGCTTGTTTTGGCTTGGCTTCACCTTGGGAGGTGGGGTGGGGGTGGGGGCAGGGACTAGGGTCTATCAGGAAACTGGGGGGGATGGCAGGGGCAGGGGGAGCACTGCAGAGTCCCCCCTCTCCCCCCTCCAGGCCTGCAGTTTCAGGAAACTGGCCCTTGCAGCTTTGTTTACAAGTACAGAGTGGCATTTGGTGAGCAGAGCTGGGGACACAGTCTGTTTCCAAAAGAAAGGAAAAAGGTCTGGGGGTAAAGAAGAGGGGCTCTGCCCACTGCCCCCTCCTTGAATCTCCCTGCCTAATGCCTTGCCAGGAAGAAAAATAATTGATCTCCTGGAATGTATCACTGCTTGGCCTGATTGCTAACTGGAGACCAGCAAATAAATCACGGGCCATCCCCGCTGGAACTTGTCGCTTTCTCGCTTCCCCTTTTACTTCGAAATTGGGCCATGAGAGGCCACCCTTGGAGGGGCTCATGGCCTGAGCCACTCTGAAGGTCTCAGGGAAAGCCCACAAACCTTTGATTGGGGGCAGCTCGCGCTTGGGTCCTCTGGACCCCAGAGCCCTCTAATCTGCATGGCCCCTCTCCTTTCCTGCACTCTTTTCTCTCCTCTCTGGCTCCCTCTCTTCTCTGCAACTGAGGGAACTAAAGCAAAGTTGGGGGGGTGGCCTTAAGGCTAGTTCTCTGAGAGGAGGCAGTGGGTACCCCAGAGAGCCAAGGCACCTGTCCTTGGGGTCCTGTCACCCTCTGGTCCAGGTAGGGGAGGGAAACAGGGGGTCTCCCTTCGCCCCCAAGACAGCCTGGCCACTGTTCTGGACTGAGGCTTTCTGCCTTTTGGAAAGACTGGTTTGCTCCAAAGGCTGATAACCTCAGGGTCCTCGGGCCTCTGCCCAGCCACCTCCCCAACTTTGACTTTAGAGATGGCAAGAGGGAGAGACAGAGAGGGAGACAGGCAGACAGACAGACAGACAGTAGGTGGAGAAAACGATTTTTAACCCTTTGCGCCCAGACACCACCTTCACCCCAGTCCCCCAAATATCCCAGGCGAGCCCCGCGCCCCACCCCCAGCTGAACCTCCCAACCTCGAGAAAACCCACTCAGGCACGGGGGTGGGGCCGCAGAGACCCCAAAGCCAGGAGGGAAAGCGAGGGCAGACAAAAAGGAGGCGGGGGGGGGGGGAAGACCCCGGAGCGCGGGAGACCAAGGGGGAAAGAGAAAAGGCTTCTCACCGTGGGGTCTCATCCATGGAAACATGAGGCTGGGAGACGAGTTTTGATTTAAGTGGCCTTGTCCTTCGCTACTGTTAGTGTTGGCGGAGGATTTACAGTCGGGATATTGCACCACGCTCGCCTCTTGCTGAGCCCCATAAAGGGACTGTCTGGGGAGCGCCTCGTAGCCATAGAATTTGGAGGCGTCTCCGTGGCAGCTCAGCGAGCACGGGTTCTGCTGGTAGCCCGAGTTGGAGATGCCCGAGGTGCCGTGGTGGAAGAAGTCTTGGACGTGGTGCGAGGCGTGCTGGAAGCCGGGCGCGGAGCCGCCGGGCCCGTACACCAGCGCATGGCTCCTGCCCACGCTCTGAGGGAACCGGCAGTCGTAATAGGCCGGTTCCAGGGACTCGCCGCCTTTGTATTTGGAGAACAGGGGGTTGAC